TTTGGTCAATTAATTTCCGACATGCCCATGCAAACTAAACAGACGTGGGTCTGCATGGGCCTGCATGTCAGACGAAAACCGCACCTAAGGTGCGGTTTTCATCAGTGATTTTGCCTATAAAAGACTTCCCGGAAAACCATTTCTCTTCACACCTCTCCTTCTCCCTTTTCAATTTTCTGTTGTAGCTCTATATTTCTTTAGTAGTTTTGCGATTAACGTTAACTCGTAAGTTTATTTTGTATTACTTTTTATTGTTATTTTTTATTTTTGATTTTTATGATATTAACTGAACTACGGTTTTTTCGCATATGGCATTCCAACCGTTCACGCTTGGCTTACGGTGGAATGGTTACACGGAAGAGACCAGAAAGGGGGTCACCTACGTCGGTGGCAATTTTCAGAAGATAAAGGTCGCTACCAGCCCGCTGCTTGAAGACCTCCATCAAATGTGCACTAACGTTACTTGCATGGATGACACGAGAAGAGTTGATCGTATGGTGTACCGATATCCAAACAGAGAAAGTGGGTCATTGTGGCATGAGGAATATCTCATAACCACTCAGGATGAGGTAGATGTCATATTTGAATTCTTGAGGTCCAACAATCTTTCCAAAGCCGAGATGTTCGTTTACACCTAGCCGGTCATAGGCGTTGGAGGTCATTCTGGACGGTCAAACATCTGGTATCCATGGTGGAGGTGAATTATATTGCGATCATCCCTATCAAAGTTACCATGATTCTCATTCCTATTTTCAGTACCAAGAGCAAGGTGAAGGTCATCATCAATCTTTCCCGTCATATGAAGAAGAAGTTCAACCGGACCTCCCCAAACCAACCTCACTACAACCGGACCCCTCCGAGGAAAAAGGAGAGAACAACGTCAGTGCAGACAGCTCCGACCCTCTTGAAGGTGCTGATGATTCAGGACCAGAGTCAGACTCAGCTAATGATGATGAGGTGGCTCATGACCGTATACCAGTCCCCTACTACAATCACATTCCAGACGATAATTGGATGGTCGACAGCGACATGGAGCCGCCAGAGGTCCCAATATGGGGTCCACTCACTGGGTTTATGAAGGGCCAACAATTTGGCTAGAATAAGGAGGTGCGGCACGCCATTGAGACTGAAGCAATGACTCGACATTTTGAATGGCACACAACTCATTCCAACACTAAAAGGCTCATAGTCAGATGTCGTAATCATCACGAGGGGTGCAATGTTAGGATTCGGGCCATCAACAGCAAGAGACACGGCCACTGGGTCATATCCCGTGCGGTGAACACACACACATGTGTGTCATCCATAACTTCCCAAGGCCATCGACAGTTGAAATCCAGGGTGGTTGTTGCGGCTATCAAGCATCTAATTGAGCAAGATCCGGACCTTAAGGTGAAAGTCATAATCGCTGACATTGCAAGTCGTTATGGTTATACGATTAACTATAAGAAGGCGTGGCATGGAAAGCAGAAAGCTCTAGCAGCCGTCTTTGGTGATTGGGAAAAATCGTATGCATTCCTTCCCAGGTTAATTTTGGCATTGGAGGCGTCTAACCCTGGCACGGTTTTCTCCCCTCGATACCAAGATGAAAAGATACAACCTCCAGAGCCAGGTGACAAGCGCCATTTCAGACGACTTTTTTGGGCATTCAAGCCATATATTGATGGTTTTGGCTTCTGTGTCCCTGTGATCCAAGTGGATGGTACATTCCTTACCGGCAAGTACAAGGGCACTCTCCTGATTGCCAGTGGGGCGGATGCAAACAGACAAGTCTTTCCTTTAGCCTTCGCCATTGTTGAGGGAGAGAATGCTGATAGCTATGGATGGTTTTTCCGGCAAATTCAAATCCACGTCACCAGGAGGATGAACCTGACAATAATCTCTGATCGGCATGCCGGCATTAGAGCTGCCATTTTGGGTTTAGATCCAGCTCGGGGGGATGATCACTCACGCACACCGGTTTGCCGTCGATAGGCAGATGGGTTAGGATGGCGACATCCTTTAGCGTGATGGTGGCCTATCCTTCTCTAAAGTTGAAACAATGAGTCTCCTTTCTCCATCTCTCGGCTAATGCGGTGATGAGTTGGCGATCAACTTTGATGCCGTTAAAATGCCTAATCGAGTCCAACCGTGCCCTTTTGAGAAAGGGCAAGATAGCTGGGTGGAATGGGAGCACATTGGTCGTACCCCTGTAGCGGAGTATCGTTTGTGCTTCCTAGCGAAAATTTACACGTTAATTCTTATATATTAGTAAAGGTTTTTTCTTATAACTAAATTAATTAAATTAAATTATTTAACTTCAAGCAGAATTTTATTATCATAAAAAGAAATTTCATATAATTAACATAATAACATTTAAAAAATAATAATTTAAAGAGATACATACATATTATCATAAAACAAACATCCTAAATTAATTAACATAATAACATTCTAAATGAATAATAATTTAAAGAGATACATACATATTATCGTAAAACAAACATACTAAATTAATTAACATAAATAACATTGTTAATGAATAATAATTTAAATAGAAACATACATATTCAAATGTTTGAAATTAATAAAATTCTTTTTGTACACATAAAAATAAATTGTATTGGTTGTTTGGTAAATAATTTAATCGTATTGGTTGTTTTAAATAATTTAATCGAATACAGAGCAACACTCGTTAGACTCTTAGAAGAGGTATACATCTTCTTAGAAACACAGTCTTTTTGACAGAAAAAGGGGGGATCCGATGATCTCTTAATACCCGATTTTCCCAGGTAATGGGAGGATATGATAATCGCTTAAAACCCCAATTTCCTTAGACGTGCATCTCTTTATAAAGAGTCGAAGTAAGTGGCGCTATGTATTCGATTAAATTATTGAAAACAACCAACACGATTAAAAAAATCAACATAAATTTATTTTATATTCCACTAAATACATTAACAAAATAAAAGAAGGACAAATGATGAAGAATTGTATGTACCGGGTGATCGTTCCAAACATCCCTTGACCGATGGTTGGGTTGGTCGTACAAGTCGGTTGGATCCAACGGTCCTTGCTCGAGATAATACCGTTGGTTGTATATATCCACGTCCTCCCCAACCTACGAGAAAATAACAACGAGGTTAGTACATAGATTAATTAAAAGCTTATAACAACAACAAAAATTAAATCAGAATAATAAGTACGTACCGCTTGAAATTCATCGACATAAACTCCCTCTCCTTGCCACCAATCGGCAATTTTTTCGGGAAATTCGGACAGAGGTTCGGCTCGGCGGGTTTTGAGAAAAAAACCTAAGAAATATTTTCTGATGGCAGATCGGAATTAGCCGCAACCAACAGACCACTATTTCCTAGACTTTTGGGAGGGAAGGGTTTAGAGAGATAAAATCTAGAGAGAGAAGGAAGAATGGGTTGTGGTGTGAAGAAATGAGAGGGGAAGGGGGTATTTATACCCAACAGACCGCACCCTCCAGGGGCGGTCGGGTAATTTTGCCCTCATAGAAAACGCACCTTGCCGAGGCGGTTTGGGTTTGCCCAGGCTTGACCGCACCTCGGCGATGCGTTCCCCGATCCGTGGCGCGGATCGCTCCGCTGGCTCGCGTTCAGCACTCCGATCGTTCTTCATCCAACGGTCTTCAAGACCGTTCCACAGAATCTGAAGACCGCATCTTGGCGTTGCGTTTCTTGTGCTGACGTGGCTTGGAACGCACCCCTAAGGTGCGGTTTATATGTAAAACGCACCTGTAGGGTGCGGTTTACTTATAAAACGCACCTCAGGGGTGCGTTCCATTAAAATTGGTGCTATTTCTGTCAATTTTTTCGGATTGGTGCTAGTTTTGTAATTTTTTTAAACGTGCTATTATTGAAAAAATCCCAATATGGTAATTATTGTCATTACCATAGTAATAATTTTAGGATATGACAATGATATGATGTCATTAAGATATTTTGTCAAACATAAAACATAATATCAACATTATATTACTATCATATCAATATCATACATCTAGCAGAAGTGAACAATCTTTTGTAGTGGGACTGAGGTGTGAGTGTGACTTGAGCACGTTTACAGCAAAGCCAATATGATTGCAGACTTTCTTGCTTCGTCCGTCATTCTTTATCCTTAGGGGCTGATTTATTTTCCATTCCAAACCACCAGCTGAATTACAGGTTGCTGTATGACCAGGTGGGGAATCAAGCTCCCAGAATTTTAGTTGAGTAATTTTATGGGCGCCTTTCTACGCCATTTTCTACTAAAAACTCATTTGAGTCTATCCAAATAAATTGACCATCCAGATCCAACCAAAATTCAAAACCATAAAAATGCTTATGAGTAATTATTTGTATGAGTTATTTGCAGCCAAAACTATAACTTATTTTGAGTTATTTGGGTGCAAATAACCCGTTTGTCTATAAAAGTAGGTGGTGAGTTATTTGTACTTGAGTTAATTTGAAATAACTCATTAATGAGTTATTGTCAATACTTCATAGGGGATACCACATTCTCATTTTGTGAGGAATTCACCTTTTATATTAACTCGTTACACAACAACTCATCCAAACGATCCTTATATGAATCATGACAATTGAGATCAAATTATTCAATGAGTTTACCCATTGTCATGTCTAAAAAAACATGCCAAGTTTTTTTTATTACCCAGGAACCTCAGCCCCACGTGCCACTTTGTAAAATCGGGTCCTACTAAATTTGGGGCCCACCTGCATTCAATTCGATGCCAACATGACTTTTCCCCTAACAGCCTTATACCTCCGGGAACACCAACGAGTCTCGCTTGGATTTGAACCTGGGATCTGCAACTCTCAAATCCTTCACTGTCGCGATAACTTACCGTTAGACTATCTTACCTTTAGTAAAAACATATCAAGTTAACCAACCCAAATCGAAGAAGTCACGATGTAGAAAAGAAAAGGAAAAAAAAAATTGTGTGGTACATGATAAATGGGCCTGAACATTATTACCGACCAAGTCAGGCTCAAACTAGCTGGAATTTGGACCGTCGCTCTCGCAAGTCGCAACTGAGATGAACGAAACGTTTGATTTTGGAGAAGACGCATCGGGGAAGCGCTACTTTCCGTCTCTCTTACTGCGTTTCCGCAGTCATCATGGTGACTGTACGAATGATAGGTAAGTCTTACTGTAGTTCCAACCAATGATTCAAATTCCGATATATACAATGAGAATTGAGAACGCCTAACTGACGATCGCTTCCTTTAATTCGTTTCTGGAACAGATATTACGGTTAACTTCACAGGTCGGTCAGTCATTTCATCAAGCACCTGCTGAGCATTTCGAGCTGTGATTTCATCCTTTGCTCAGTTAAGCAAATGCGTGATGTTTGAATGTTTTCTGTCAGATGGCATGTTCAGAGGAACCTATAATGGCAAGCAACACCATGTAGCTGACATACCTGCTGTCCTGACTCGGGCTTGGAACGCATCATTGTGAGTTTCCTTCTGAGACCCGCTTTCAGTAGCTTCTTTCAGCTCGCTAATTCCTTTAAAGCTTCATTCTTTGATTCTGATGCTGTGAGGTCATCTGGAATGAAGATCTTCGCATTTGATTTCAGTTGTTCTGTATGGTCATCTCCAAATATGTTTGCTATTGAGTATCTCTCCGTTGCAAGTAGGAAATTTTTGCTTCCTACTGTTTCTTCTGTTGGTCTTGCAATTGCCGAGACGGATGGTTTGTCTCTTCTTATTTTGTTGAAGCTTATTGAAGGCTCTTTCTGGAGAGTTGGTTGCAGCACTTTAATTTCCATTACCTTTTACAGGGAGGCTTTTCTGTACTGTTGGTGTGCACCCTACTAGATGCAAGGTTGATTTCAAGTTACTGCATATCCTTTACCGTAGAAGTTCACATTCCCCGCCTTCATGTTCCCCCCTCATCCATTCACTCGGATTTATGCAGGAATTTGAAGAAAGTGGGGATCCGGAGAACCATTTCCAAGCTCTGTTGTCGTTGGCCAAAGAAGGAATTCGGAAAGGAAAGGTATTAGTTTCTAGTCTCAACTCTCATCTACAATCACACATTTATACTTGTCATCGAATTTCATACATCCACGATACTGTTTTTTGTTTTGTTTTGCTGATGAAGAGATCTTGAATATTTGTAGCCTGACCTCAAAATATTGGTTTCTGTTTTGATAATTAAGATGATTGGGGCAGATGGCTTCTCAATACCATATTGCTGATATTGTAAGTTATATACATATGCATGTAGATGTGTAGAAAGTACAAACATCTTAACTGTATGTCCAAAATCCTATGCAACCTTGTTTTCTGCTCATTTCCGGCATGCACTGTCAGCTGGTATTAGTTACAGTGTCTGATATGTTACTTTCTTCTTGACCTGTAGTTAGTAATTTATCCCTGAGAGAGGAAAGATTTTGCATGGTAAAATTGATTTTCTGCTTTGGAGTTTATAACCATAAGGTTGTGGAAATTATTAACTCTTAGACGTCAGTCTGTTGCATGCCAGCATGACTTGGTACATGCTGATATGCATTCCAAATTCAAAATTGTGTCATCGTTGTGCATTAATGCTTGTTTTTTTGTTTATGAGTAGTATTTTTAGTAGCTACTACAATTTCATGACCACATTTTTCCTTGAATTTCAACACCGGAAGGTTGTGGCGGTTGGTGAGTGTGGACTGGACTATGACAGGCTCCACCTTTTCCCTGCTGAGATTCAAAAGAAGTTAAGTTCTTTTGGATAAGTCATTCTATGCATTTTGATGCCTTACCTAACCATTGTGATTAGAGAGTGCATGCATTGATAAATTAGGTATTTTGAGAAGCAGTTTGAATTAGCACATCCCACAAAGCTGCCTATTTTCCTTCATATGCGTGCAGCTGCCGAGGACTTCTGTGAGATCATGGAGCGTTACAAGGACAGGTTAGTTACCTAATACTACTGCTTTGCTTGAATGGTACTGTGCCACTTAATTGAGGTGGTTGCTAGCCATGGCTCCATTTCCCTTAAATGCAGATAAAGCTTGTGCGAACTCCTAAATTAATATAATTGAACCACTGATTTCGCTCAAACTAATAAGAAACAGAGTTTATCTGGTAATTGTCTTTGTATTCTGGGTTTGTGTTACCAAGGTCTGGGTGCAGGTGACATACTTCGTGTAATTTTCAGGTTTACTGGTGGTGTAACGCATTCCTTTACTGGTAGCGCAGATGATCGTGATAAACTTGCATTCAGAAATATGTATATAGGTGAAATACTCTCATTGGCGGAATTTTCAAGCTTCCTTTTCCTTTCACTGATGTCTTTATTGTACATTTCCTTGGATTTAGTTAGCTTCTTGTGAAAGAACTTACTTGTTTTTCTCTGTGTGAGACTCGAATATATGCAACTGCCTTTACTTTTTCTAGCCTTCTAATTAAGAGTGATTTCTCAATTATTGCTCATAAAACTGAAAGTGGAAGGAAAGGTCAACTTCGTTCCCATTCCAAACCCACAAAACTTGATTGGTAATTGAGTTTCTCACCAAGCTTTCCGCTGTAAATGGTTGCTCTCTGAAAACAACTGAGAACCTCGAAGTTGTGAGGGACATTCCCATTGACAGAATGATGATAGAGATGACTCTCCCTATTGCGAAATAAAACCAGTTGATCCCAATAACTCGAGTTGTTGGGAGAGGTTCAATCGTGGATCATATACCACAACACTAACACGCCCCCTCAAACGAAAGCCACTCACAAGGGCTTGAAGTTTGCACAGGTCTGAAGACAAGAATACCATGTGCTTAACAAATGGGTTCACCGAGAATCGAACACAAGACCTCTCGGTCACAGAAGACTCTGATATCATGTCATAAACCAGTTGATCCCAATAACCCGATTTGTTGGGAGAAGTTCAATCGTGAATCATATACCACAACACTAACAAATTCAACATGTAAAATCATCATGGCCTTCCAGAAAGAAAGAGAAGTATGAACCAGGGTCCATTGTGAGGCCGGAATTAACCTTGTTTAGTTCGGTACGTGGGACCCTCGTGTCAATCTAAATGCCTTATTATCGAGGTTGTGTCCGTATTCCTTTGTTTGTACAACGACTCAGAAGATTAGCTTGTTGCTCAGTAGTGTGTTCGGTTAATTTTATGATTGAAATGCTATTTGTTTTTAATAATTTCTGTACAATGTTAATCTTTCTTTTCAGGCAAGTTTTAGAGGTCGTGGCAGGTGCAAAGGCTTCAGTGATACAGAAGAAATGATCAGAATCATCTACCACAGCACCTGCAGGCATGTGCCTTCTCAACGACCCTGAAATTTCCTGCCCGACTAACTAGCCTGGGGAAATAAAACTAGTGACCAAAGACTGCTGCTGTATGTAATCCAATATCCTTCTTGTCAGAATGTTCTTTCCGCAGGACGTGGATTCTTCTGCGGCGTCTCTTCCTGCTGGTGGTGATCATATACTACCCTCTTTTGGTCATCTATTTCTAGCTGGAAAGAAACCCACCCTCATATACTTTATTTTATGTTTCCCTGATGCCAATGCACAAGAAGATTTCAAACCCGATTTTGTATCGAGAAACCTTTGGTGTTAGTGCTGGTACGTCAGAGTTATTATTTATACTTTGCTTTGCTCATATGAGTCTTCAAAAAGTTCTCATATCGCGCAAATATATTACAATCTATATGGTCATGCATTGAGCAACAATTTTCTGCCGTAAAAGGGTGCTCTATTAATTTGGCTAATAAGCAGCAATCTTGTACAGAATCCACGTCCATATTCACATGCCATATTTTGAAACAAATAGCTGCATACTTGAGCTTGCTCTTCTGGGCACTAAGTTTCTTGTGTTCTGTCTTGGTTTGACCGATTCGAATGGCATGATGGAGGAGCATAGTGAAAGCAAAAAGCTCCTTTAGAAGGTTAAAGGGTAGATGCAACAAAATACTTTGAACTTTGAAGTGTACGCAAGTGATGTGCAGAAACGTCTACTCAGACTCAGAGCTGATGCTCGAAACCAATTGGCCGCTATCGCCTTCGGTTGTTGACTTGAATCCTGATGAAGATTGCGGCCTCTCCGAAGCCATGTTCAACCGCAAAGGCCGCCCTTCCACCTCCTACAAAATTCCACAAAACAACAGAATTTGGTTAAACAGAAGCATTGGAACAGATACTACATGAATTGTCTGTGCGCCATCCAATTGTAGCTTACCTTCCCATTCATGCTATTCAGAGCAGCATCAGCATCTGCAGCAGTCTCGAAAGACACGAAACCGAAACCTCGAGATCTTCCTGTATCCCTCTCGTAGATGACCTTGGCACTCATGTATCCAGGCTGCTCAGCGAAGACTTCTTTGAGAGCTTGAGATGTAACGCCCCAACCGAGATTCCCAGCATAGACCTTGTGAGGGCTGTCTACGAACCCCTGATAGCTACTCCGCACTCTCGAGCCTATCATCTCCCTCTCGCCTCCCTTGGGCACTTCTGGGAAGTTCACCTTTATGTTTCTACCTCCCAATTGCTGCTCATCCACCACCACTACCATTCTAAGTATATCCATGAGGGTAAGGGCAGACAGAGAAGCAAAAGAAAGCAAGAGCAGGGAACTTACTGATTCATTGAACATTCGAATGGCTGCTTTAGCTTCCTCGGCAGTCGCCATTGTAACAAACCCAAACCCTCTGCTCCTATCTGTAACCCGATCATAGATGACCTGAAAACGTTGCAAAAAGCTCCCTTAACTCAATTCACTCCACCATCTCCAGTTGTCAAATGGGTTTTATATAACGAAGGTCAAATAACTGATTAATGATCTTAAAATTTGGATAGGATATAAAAAAATGCTATGATTGAATCAACTGATCCTATTCAAACACTACTAGGTCTCTCAATCAAAGATTATAATACCATGGTCCAACATCAAGTCATCCATCAGATTATTGAAGTTTTGAACAAAGAAGAAGAGCAAATTTGGAAGCAGGGGAGGGAAGGCATTCGGACCTCAACGCTGGCGATACGACCCGCCTCCGCGAAAATCTCATTTAATTCCGCAGAAGTCGTCGTATATGGCAGGTTTCCAACGTACAGCCTACCTTCGTCACTTGATCCAAACCCTCCATTCACACCTGCTGCTACTTCTCCTTCTTCGCTTTCCGGAGCGTAATCATCGGCTTCAACCGCGAGGTCCTCGTCGTCAGTGGAGTTCTCATCTTCGGCTGCCTCGAAATCGTCAAATGCAGCGGCGAAATAGCGGCGCGATGGGGGTCGGCTGACGACGACGGTGGCTTGGTTCGCGAGTTTGAGGGGCTTCAGGAGGAGATTGGCCAAGTGATTAGTCGACAAGTGGGCAGTGGATGGAATGTGAGTGGCGGAGGCGAGATTGGAGGCTTTGGTGTGAAGCGGAGACAAAGCAATCGAGGAGGCAGCCATTGATAGTAGTAGAGCTGACATTTCTTCTTAGCCCCCCAGCGCAGCTGATATGGCAGGCGCAGCAGTGAGTGTGACGAGGATAATTCTTGGACTGTAAGCGACAAGTACGCAGATAAGGTTTGCTTGGTTGGGCCTAGTTTATTGGGCTTCCTCGTGTTTGGACTGCGACCAAATGTTGATTCACGTTGGAAATAAATAGGTTTGAAAGAGGTAAATTGCAAGTTTGGTCATCAGAAATACTAAAAAAATTTCACGTTTGTCGCTAGAATTAATTTATTTCATCTGTTGTCACTTATATTAGTTCAACAATTCAAATTTGGTCACTCTCCGTTAGTCTCCGTTAACTTTATCTGACGTGGCAGTCAACCTTCATAATTGACTATTAAGTGAGTGACGTGGCAAATTAAAAAACTAAAAAAATAAAATTTAATCTATTAATTTTCACCTCATTTACACAATTATTAAAAATTAAATATAAATTTTTTATAATTCCCAAACTTCTTATAATCCAGCGAACTACCTCTCGAAGAAGTCTCCGGCGCTCATCAGCTTCCTCCTCTTCCTCAGACACCTCTAATTCCTCCTTCTCCAACAAGTCCCCGCTCATCGGCTTCCTTTTCTGGCTTCTCCTCCATTTTTCGGATTGTCTTTGGCGACATTGTGAAGCCGTTCCAGGTAGGGCTGGAAGTTTGGTACTGGTATTTGGGATATACCGAATACCGTACCGAATTTGTCTATATTTGGTATTACCGAATACACGAATTATTTTTTGGGATTGGGATTGGGATTGAATTTCATTTGTTATTCGGTATTAGGGATTACGGGATTGAGATCGGTATTATACCGAAATACCGATCAATACCGAAATATAAGCTAGTGTGTATTTTATCCTCTCAACTAAACTCTCTCATTCACTACTACACGACCCTCAACCACCAAAAGTGTCATTTAATTATACATAGATCATTCCATCACTATTAATAGTCGTCTGTCAACCTCCAATTCGTCAAATTAAAGATTAATAATGACAAGAACTTGAGATGTCTCCTCTCCTCCATTCTCCTTAATAATATCCTAATTCAAGACTCTTTGCTTAGTCTTTTTTCCCTAAATTAAACAATAAAATATCATTAATATATTTAATTATTAATTGTAAAGGTAATTAATTTCGTATTCGATAATACCGATTGGGATACCGAAGTACCGATTGGGATACCGGTATATTTAGGGATTGGGATTGGGATACCGAAATTATTTAGGGATTGGGATTGGGATTGACTTTAGGGTGTAATTCGGTATTCGGGATTTCGGTATTTGGTATTGGGATACCAATACCGTACCGATTTCCACCCCTAGTTCCAGGACCTGGGTAAATTTCTGGGCCCCAAGCGCGAGATCCTTTCCCTGTTATGAACGTGATGGGGATCGAGACCCTAGATCTATCGTACAACAATTTCCACATAGGGAGAATCCTCGATTGGGCGAGTTCTTCCCCGATTCTCTATTCCATGAAGCTGGCGAAATGCGGGATCAAGATGTATCTGACGAATTGGAGGCCGAAGCAGACGTATTTCTATGATTACCTCGACTTATCGGAGAATGAGATCTGAGCAGTCTCGTTTGGTTGCTGAGCCGGACCGATTATTTGGTTGGGTTTTGGGCGGCCGGGAATAAACTGAGCTTCGATTTGAGGCGGATGAGGATTGTGGTGACGATCAAGGATTTGGATCTGTCGAGGAATTTGATTTACGACGGGGTGTCGAGTTCGGTTGTTGGATTGCAGAATCTGAATGTGAGCTGGAATCATTTGTGTGGAAGGTTGTCACCGACGAAGTTCCCGGCGAGCTCGTTTGAAGGGAATAAGTGTCTTTGTGGCTCCCCTTTTGCTCCTTGTAAATAAAAATAATTAATCAATTCACACCGAAGTTTGCGATGAGAAGCACGATTCCAGCTATGTCTTCAGAACGACGGGATTGCAGCCGCACTTCAGAATCTACAGCCATTGAGCAGTTTCCGCAAGGGATTCCTCAAACCAGAAGTGCGATAAAAAAAGTAGAGAGAATCCATGAAGATTTACCACAGTCGGCCATGTGCCACGATGCCAGCGACGGAGGGGACGATTCTGGGGGGGAGTACATGGACGAAGGGGACTATTCTTGGGGGAGAGAAAAGTTGACAGAGGGGTACCCTTCCAATTGCTTTTTTTATTAATTTATTTTTATTTTTAATTTGACAAGTCACTCACTTAACAGTCAACTATAAAGGTTGACTGCCACGTCAGATAAAGTTAATGGAGACTAACGGAGAGTGACCAAACTTGAACTGTTGAACTAATTTAAGTGACTATAGATGGAATAAATTAATTCTAGTGGCAAACGTGAAATTTTTTAGTAATTCTAGTGACCAAACTTGCAATTTACCCATTTTGAAAGCTATAAATTGAAGTATCAAATACCATATTGGTGAGCAGAATTTAGCAAAATGTATATAAGAATACTAGTTTTTTACCCGGCCTATTGGCCAGAGAGTTCATTTTATCATTTATATAAAATAATGGGTATGCCCATGTCACCGTAACATGGATTTTTCGGTCGACCTAATCTCGAAGGAGGTCGACCGAATTGACTAATTTGGGCAGCAGGAGAATGCATCATGGTCGACCTCAAAGATCATCTGGTCGACCGTACTTAGTTTAAGTTGTTATTTTTGGTCGACCACGATAAAACCTCGGTCGACCATTTCGTTGGCGTCAGAAACAACATGGCCGACCATAAAGGTATATAGGTCGACCACTTGATGGCAGTCATTAACAATGTGGTCGACCAGATACAGAAAGTGGTCGACCAGATAGAAGACAAGTGTTCTTCTATCAATTTGTCCAATCATTTAACGTAAAATGAAGATCAAGTGTTGGTTTCGAGGTCGACAGAATACAAGAAAGTCAACCTATGCCCCATGTCTTTTTGCTTATGTATGTCAATTTGTGTGGTTCTTTTGCTCGTAC